CTATTTTCTGGCTTTTTTTTTTTTGTATTAATATTATGAACTGTTTTGTAATGTTAATTCCTACTGTAGCTTCTCCATTAAGATTCTGACAGTGCTGGAAACAGCAAGCAGCTTCTCTACTAAGATTCCCTCAGACCTGGAAGCAGCAAAGAGGGCTAACCAACTGTCATGGTATAGAACTTAACTGTTCATACTGCATCTTCCCTCTGATACATTAAAACATACATTTTGCCTGTCTTTTCAGAAAAAATCACATAATATTTTTGTGAACAGATTGTAAAACTTTGAATTTCCATAATCATGAGATGTATGCATTAATCTCTGAACAGTCTCTTAATTTGCATCTCATATAAATATATACATTTTGGCTTAGATTTTTAAAATGTTCAAATGTTTTTCATTTAACTTTCATATTAGATATCTAAACAATCTAAGTCAAAGTGATTAAAAGAAAAACAAACCTTTTCCTAGGTTACTTATTATACTTACAACATAGTTCCTGTTAGTGAGTTTATTTCACCAAAGAAATTTTATGTTACATGGACAATTAGAAAACCCAGAGTAAATGAAAACATACCAGAGTGACTCTCTACTCTCACAAGTTTAGCAAAGTGTGGGGCCTACCTACAGTGACAGTTCAGTCACTGAAGTGCTTGCTTTGCACACATAAAGACCTGAGATCATTTCTTCAGATCCCAAGGAAAAACTCAAGCTTTTTGGTAAGACCTTTTAGTTCCAGTGCTGATAAAGCAGATGCAAAGGAGTCCCTGAGGCTCCTGGCATAAGCAGTGAGCCCTGGGCCAGTAAGGGACCCTATCTCATACAAACAGGATTACTGGTACCTGAGAAAAGACAGCCAACACTGATTTCTCACCTCTACGTGTATGTGTGCATGTATTCGAATACACACACATAAACACAAACACAACCATATAATTGGCAAATATCGTAAAATAACTAAAGAACTTGTTAGTTCTAATATTTTAATTAGACCTTTAAAATAAGTCCAAGAACCTTATCTAAGGCTATCATCTGCATTGTTGATAATCATATATATGACATCATCTCCTGCTAGTTGTGGGAGGGATCTGAACTCACAAAGCATAGTGTTCCTGGAAGGGCCACCCCTGCCCAGGGATAGGGCTGCTTGGTTTTACTGTCTAGAGCAGACTTGCCTTCCAAACAAGTATCCCATAAGGTGTCCATAGTAAGACACATTGTCAAATTGGCAGAAGTGAAATACAATTTTTAGGGAGGTCCAGGCCGATGTTGCTGGTTGTGTAGATAGAATTACTCTTTAGAAAGCTCTTAGGGGTCAATTTTTATCAATACAAAAAAGAAATTAGTGTGCAGGGGACGTGAACAGCTGTTCTCAGGGGAAGAGTCTGGAAAAAGTGTGATTAGTGTGGTTGTTAGAAAGACACTAGAAGGATAGAAGATAATCTAATAAGCGTGACTAGATATTAGGCAGAAGGCTTGATCATGGGGCCTGCATGCTGACTGCTAAGGAATTTGGATTTTATCCTGCAGATGAAAAATCACATGATCGGTGACATACTATTTTAGGTAGCTAAAGTTGCACTTCAGCAATGTAGGGCAAAAGCATCAAAGAACTAAGTCCAATAGACAAGGCTTGGAGTCGGTGCAGACAAGTACTGGCAATGAGAAAGAAGAACTGATGCAATGGTACTTTAGCATAATAGATGTTGGTTTCATTGGGCTTCCCAAAGAAATCTATGGTTGCAAGAGAAGATAATGAACATAGGAAAAATGTGAGAAAACAATGGAAAATACTCATTCTTGTTCCTTGACCTTACTGTTATTAAATTTTTATTTTTGCTTCATTGGTGCATGTCGAAATTACCATTTATTGAGAGTGTTTTAGTAGAAATTTTATTGTTTATTTTCTTAATAAGAATTCTTGAAGGATCTCATTTTTAATGGCTATCCATCATTCTATAGTTTGAATACAAAGATTATTGCAATGTTATAAGCTTATATTTTCCATGTTTTCATTATTTTAAATGTCATTATAAATAACATAAATGTCTTATTAAGACCTATTATTTCTGCATTGATTTGGATAGGTGGTATCAAGTACATTGTAGAAAAAATTGCATTTATTGGTTTTTACATTTACTTTGATCTGTTCTCACATTAACTGTAATATGACACATCTTACCTTGAGTTAGCATCAAAATGGGACAAAAAGGTGAACTGCTTTATATAAAAATGCTTAATCTTCCCTGCCCTTCCTGGGTAGGTTGCCTCCCTTTTTCTCTGTTTCAAGCCACAGTGTAATTGACATGTTAGCACTTATTTGGGTTATAGGGGCATAATGCATGCTGCAGTCTCCACTGATTACAGCTCTATCTCTGAAGATGTATGTTCCCATACACACAGTCCACTAGGCACTGTCCAGGAAGTTCAGTTTACTCACACCATCAATAATCTATTTACAAATTTTCCTAAACCATATATGTCCCATTTAGTATGGAAAAGTGACCTCAGTTTGTTTTGCATGAATTAATGGATTTCAAAGTGTGGTTTGCTTATTTTCTTTCATCTTATTATCTTTTTGAAAATATTGTCTAGGTACTAGCCTACTGACAGTCATGATTTGATAAGATATTCTCCAAATGCCTTACTTCTGTCTTAATTTTGTCTGATAAATCTATTATATTAAAAACATGTAAGAGGATTCCTCAAACTAATCTCTGGTGGTTTAGATTGTTCTAATCATTTATTTTTAATTATTAATTATATGTTTGCATTGCTTTCACCTCTTCTCTCTTCATGTGTGCTGTACCTGAGTGCAGTTGCTTTCAAAGGTTATAATATGAAAATCCTTGAGAGCTGGAGTTACAGAAGGTTGTGAACTACCCAGTGTGGGTGTTGGGTATCAAATTCTGGTGCTCTGGAAGAACAGTTTATATATACTCTTAACCTCTGAACTTGTTTCTCCCACTCATATGTTTTCAATTCTGAAATTATCATGCATTAAATCCTAGGCTATATTCTATGTTAAGGAAAGGGAAAAGTAAAAAATAAAAGGGAAAGTTGATAAAATGGACAGACATTTCATTGTGAGTCTATGCTTGACTCGTGGAGATATTATTAATGTTATTCTTTAAAAATTTCATACATCTCTCTTCCCTCCAATTACATTTGTTCTCTCTCTTTCTCTCTTTCTATCTTTAAATAAATAAACCCACTGAGTACACTTAATGCTGCCTATATGTGCTTGGCTATAAAATCATCTACTGGAGCATAAATAGGGACCTCATCTCTGAAGAAAGTGAATGTCCACCTCTAAACTGCCATCAGTTGCCAATAGTTTTTCAGTGATGAATGGAATTTCATTAACAACTCCCTCACTCATGCAGGCTTTGGGGCTGCTTTGATGCTGTGTAGGTCTTGTGAATACATTCACAAACCGCTATCAGTTCACATGTTCAATAGCCTTCTCATGTCTATCAGATATGTTTCACTGTAGATGTCCAGGACCTCTGGCTCTTATAATCCTTCGGCCTTTTCCTAGATGATTGCTGAGTCTTGTGGAAAGGGAGCCTAATATAGTCCCATTTATAAATGAACATTCATTTGTCAACATGCTGACCACTCTCTGTTCATCTTCATCTATTACAACATCAACAAAATGCTTCAGTTCTGAAGGCTAAGAGGTACCCTAATCTAAATGTGCAAAGATAAGAATGTAAGGCCTGGGTTATTACTATTGGCAGATTGATAGCTGTAGGTAGGTTCTCCTCTATATCCTACTTGGCAAACCATAGAGTTTGGAACAATTAATGGGATCAGGTGTTGATTTCATCCGGTGGAAAGGGACTTAAATCTAACCAGAGAGTGTTTGCCTACATACAATTTGTGCTACTATTGCAACACTGGGTAAAATTTGGTAGGCTGGTTGATATTATAACCCACTGTGTTCACAGCGCAGTAAGATTGTTGATTATTTTTCCCAATAGTGTGCAGGGCATCTTCTAGCATTGTGAAAGATATCCAGTAGGGAGAATGCTCCAAATCGGGACCAGTTTGATTTCTCCATGTCTTGTTATTAAATAATGTGGTACCTTCTGCACCCAAGCCTTTTTTTTTTATCAAATTCTGGAGGATAATCAAAAGGGAATATCTTGTATTATTGAAGGATCTATGAGAACCTCAATAGTAGGCACTGGTTGTAAGCTTTGTGATAGTCATATAGATTGACAAGTTGTTTTCCTGGCATTTCTATTGTACCTTAATCATATATTTACAATTTTAAAGTAAAACTATAAAGAAAATAATTCAAGCTGATTGAGTAGATAAAGCTTTATTTGTACTATTTTGTGTAATATTGGGGTAGATAATCAATGTGTTTCCTGACTGTTGATTTTCATAATTTATAGAAATGAGAAAAACTCACTCTCCTTTTCTAAAGACTTAATATATGCTATACCTGTACTTAGACCTTTAGTTACCTTTCCATCTTTTTATCTCTTTGTCTAAATTTCCAAAATTATAATCTGTATAATTGGCACTGGATTCCAATGGAGCCATGGATTAGCACATAGTGCATGGGCTTTCAATGTTCCTGTTTGAGTAAATAATATTCACAACAAACTTAGATCCTTAGATTATGGTGATGGAGATAAGTGTCTCTTATACCCTATAGACCATTGCCCAGATCTCTTTTACATCAAGTTTTGTAAAGCAATTAGCTTTTGCTTTTCTTTTCTTCATTTTTTTTCCAGATAAAATAGCATGTATGAGTCTTAGATTGGTCTCAAACTTGTAATGCTCCTGTCTCAGCATTCTTTTTTATCACAGTATTACAGAAATATATTAGACCCTGCTGCAAAATGATTACTGTTGACATGAGATGAATGTAGTCTTGCTTCCTCTGTACTACCAGCATTAGTCTGATTTTCTTGGTGGATGTAAGGAAAAGGAATACATTGACATTTTCAAAACAGTTAATGAGGGATTCCTTTTACTTTCAGCAAGTCACAGAAACCACAAGTCCTTCAGTGTTGCCCCCTTCAGCCTTGTCATTGGACCTGCTCAATAATGCTGTGACGGCCTTCAGTACCTTGGAAGAGCTGATTCGGTACCTAGAGCCAGATCGATGGCAGGTGGACTTGGACAGTCTCTACAAGCCAACATGGCAGCTTTTGGGCAAAGCTTTCCTGTATGGGAAAAAAAACAAAGGTAAGCTTCCTCTCCAGGTTAAAACTCATTTAAGTCTTCGTTATTGATGTTTTCCAAGTCCTTTGCCATGGTTTCTAAAAGGGGGAGTTTAGAATGCCTTCAGGGATACGCTTAAACAACTCATTGTATTATCAACTAAAACACATGACTTATAAAATGAGAATATAAATGTGAAGAAAATCAAGAGATACTTCTGAAAACTACCGATCACTTCCTATCTCATCAAATATAATGTTGATGGGGCACTCTCTTCACTTTAACAAGAATCAATGCTTATTCTAATCTACATTGTGAGATTTAAAAGGAGATCAGAGCTGAAAATAAGTAAAGTTGAAGGCTAGAAAATGGGATGTTTTATAGAAGTCATTCTTACTCTGTATCCCCTGGGGTTGGGGTTGCATTCATTTTGTAAACTCAGAAAGTTTTAAAGGGTAGGAAAATTTTATGGAGTCAAGATAGAAGTTCCCAAGGTAGGATTCACAGCATGAAAATGAAAGCCTTCAGGAGACCATATACTGGGAATATTCCAATTGTAAACTTTCCTTTGCAACTGTTACTTTTGACGCAATTGGCTTATATTCTTTGAGTTCCAAAATTTCTGATAATTAAACCTAATCTCTCATGAACATTAAAAAATAGGGATACTAACCACATTTCCAATAAGGTTAGCTAATTTTCGTGGCAATGTCAGAAGTGTGAGGGAGCTGTATCCTACACAGATGATGCTGGAGAAAAGTAACAGGAAAATGAGACTGCTCTCAGAAAACTGGTCTACTCAGGATTGTGTTAGAGAATGGTAAGGAGAATTTATGTGAAAGGAATAGTGTTTAGTTAATGTGAGCCACTCACCATAGCAGATTGCACCAAGCTTTTTGTAAACCCCGTCAGAAGAAACTTGACTCCTGCCTTTCTTGCACACCCTTGCAGCCTTCCTGATCATGAGCTTTCATCTCTGAGGGTCACGTTTGGACCTGCCCAGGCCTGGTATTTCACTGTGCTGACAGACGTGGTTTCCTTTGAAAAGTGTTTGAACATGATTATGTTCAAGGGCATGGACAGCTGAATCCTGTCCAGATGCTGAATGCTGCTACATATTCATCAGATCTGATCTTGATGAATAAGTTACCGACAGCCAGCGCTTCCCTTTTCTGCACTTAGGAACAGGAAGCTGACGATCTGCAAGAGTCGCTGAACATCCCATGAATTGTACCATTTTTAGCAATGTAAATTAGATTATGAGATGCGTTCGTAAACAGTAAAAGTGAGAAATTGGTTTTAAGCTCACGTCATGGTTTTTGAGCAGTGATTCTGGAGTCTAGGCTAAAACTGTTCCTTTGAGCCAAGTCTTCAAGTCTGAATCCCTATGCCTGCTACTCATAGATTAGGCCATAAGCTAGCTTATAATTAAAAGAATTTGATAGTGATCCGGATTCTTTTAAGTATGACACTTTCATCATTGTAGCACTTTGTAGTTTACCAAAAACATTCTCTTTTTAAGCATACACTGGGTATGAGGAAAGCAGCATGTACTTTTAGAACTTTACACAAACTCAAAATGCAGGTATGGGCTAATATCTCTAGACAAGATCAGCTCCCCTGTGAGAGCCTTTCTACAAAGGAGCTGGGAAATACTTCTAAAAGCCTCCAATTAGACATTGAAATAGATTTTCCCCAGAATAAACATATCACAATGTTACTACATTCGTCTTAGAAGGACCACCCTCAGGTTGCTTTACTGTAATATGATCACCTAGGATTGAATATCTGAAAAAGCAGGAGCAACTAACAAAGCAAAATGTGTCTGTAATTTTCGTCAGTAATATCCTTTCTGGTAAAACTTACAGTGTTGATAAAATTTCCTTGAGAAATCATGATTTACATTAGTGATATGGTCAGTATCTTTATTCTCTAGAAACATAAATTATTCCATCTCTTAGGAAGCAATCATGGAAAGGTAAAGAATCCCAAAGGCTGTTTTTCTGTGTTTACTTTGTAATTATTTTGCAGACAGAAATTCACATAGCTTTCATTTTTTCTTTTATCTCCTCCTTTTCTCATTATTTTAGCTAAAATTTTGCAGAATGCTTGTAAAGTTACTTTTTTGTAAGATTTTGGTTTAATGAAGTTGATATTAGTTTGAAGCCTTTGAAGACATGGACCTATAAATGTTCAAGATGATACACAAATTTAAACTCTTTAACTTTTTAGTCCAGGATAATCTGCTAGCATGCAGTAATGGGCTTTGGCTTATTTTCTTTATATCCCTTTCGGTTAGTCCAAGTACAGCTACAGGAGGAAAAAAAACTGAGATAAGGTATTTTCTAAGTCAAGCTTAACAGTAGTTTCAAAGGGGGCTTTTGACTTGTGAGTCAAGCATGATAAATGAGGGGTGTGGGGTGGAAAGTGTGTTTAAATTTTCCCATTGTAGCAGGTAGAAGACTACACTCGGGAAATCCACCCTAGCCTTTTATTGTGGTTAAGTAAACATTTTAAGGAGAACACATGCAGACCCTTTTCTAGTTTGGGGAAATAGTATGTTTAAAAGGATGTGTGGTAGGTGAGGTCCTTTCAAAACTGGGAGCTTCATTAACCTTCTGAAGCCTTAGATAGATCATAGACATTGTGGAGACTTGCTGTGATGCTGTGTGCTTTTAAGCATTCGCTCCCTCCCAGTCCAGATGTCATTTTCATCCAGAAAGGGACCTAGTCAATCACATGTAGCTTTAAAATAAAATGATAATGTATCTATATGCCAATCATTAGGCAAAGGGAATGCAGTAGAATCAGTGACGTCATTAATATAGCTCCCCTATTAACTTTACTAGTGACAATTGGTCTTTACAGGGAGTTTGAAGCTATTCACTCATTTGCTTTCTGGTTTTTTTTGAAAATGCTGCTTTCAAAGGGTTGTTTTCAGATGAAATCCTTAAATAATCCGAGCTATGATTTCAGATAGAATTAAACATACTTTTACAGCTGAGTAAATCTTTGACATGAGCCCGTTAGCATTGCTTTGGACATTCAGCCTCTTTCCTAGGCTTTTCATCCCTCCTACAGTTAAATATGGCTATAATTTTCAATTAAATATTCATAGCCTATTATTATACTTAGAGATTTCAAAAGCATTCCTTAACAAACAATAGCCATTTAGTACAGTCAAAAAAGCAAGTACTTTATTCTTATTTACTATCACGTTAAAACTATTAAAAATGAGTGCTTTTGTTTATCAGAATTGGAGTCTCACAATCATTGTTACTATTTAAAACTGTCCTTATATAAGAAAAATGATAATATATTTACTTCTATAACCTTTCTAGTTCTAGTTTAAAGATACTTAACCCAATTCTTATACTTTCTATAACAATGTATTTTAGATAGTTACTTAACTTAAAATATTAACCCCAAATAAATACAGGGGTCTGAAATATTTAGGTTAATTTCACTTGAAATATTTCTATGGAAAAAGATAGACATAGCTATAAGATAGAAACTAACACCACACTAGAAATATATATATCCTGTAATTAATCTTTATGTATAAGTTTGTAGAAAACATGGCACTGTTTTAACATGTTTCCTGAGGCAGTATTCATGTAGATAAAAACAATGATTTTTTAAAATATTTTCCTACACATCTAATGAAAGGATATTGTATTTGTTCATCACAAGCAAAAACTAAGGTATAATATAAACAACTCACTTGGAAGAACAGTCAGTGGCTACTGATTAGATACTTCTCTATCTTTCAACAAGGGAATGATAGAAATCTGAGGGATCCAATTGTTCAACATTTCAGAGGACACCAATACCTAAGACACTAATCCTCAGCTTTCCAACATCTGCTCTTATTCTGACATGAGTAATCTCTTTCACTGACTGTCCATTCAGCTGTCTTGAAAAACATTTTCTTCCCTTTTCTTATATTTTATGTTTCTTACAGCCAGACTGATTGCAGAAGCTCTATGGATGGGTTTCAGTGAGCTGTTCTGAACTGATTGTTAGAGCCTGTAATCCTTTAAAAAAAAATTACATCGGCCTTTTAGTCAAAGCGATCATACTCCTACGTACTGTGCCTCTCTGCAATGCTCTCTTTGTCTGCTTTTTGACTGAGGTTAAAAGGTGTAGCCCCTGTTCTCTATATAAAGTTTCCTATTATTTGTAGTTCTCAACTGCTTCATTGGCTCTGTTCTTCATATTGCACAATGCCACCTCTTCATTGGTCACTAAGTCATAATGCAGCTTTGTTTACTACGAAACAGAAAGTCCAATTTGTGAGCTATGGAGCCATCCAACCTAGCTAAGATGAGAAGGGATATTGTTAGGGTTATCATTCATGGAATAACCAGATCGCTTTTATAAAAGGAGCTTAAGGAAATGGAATCAGGCTCAAAGCTTGAATATTTTTTTTCTTTGCCTTTCTCTATGCCCTGTAGTGGTGAATCTGAATCTTCTCAAAGAAGAGGTAAAACTCTACAGCTGCACACCCCGGAACTTCTCAGTCTCCATACGGGAGGAGCTAAAGAGGACAGATACCATATTCTGGCCAGGTTGTCTCCTGGTCAAGCGCTGTGGAGGAAATTGTGCCTGTTGTCTCCATAATTGCAATGAATGTCAGTGTGTCCCACGTAAAGTTACAAAAAAGTATCATGAGGTAAGTACATTGTTTTCTATGCAGTTTTTATGGGGTGTTTTCTTCCCTAACAACAAAAGGAATGAATCTAAAATCCTCTAGTGATTGGGACAGACATTTTTCTGTTACAGAAATACAAGCACTAAGTCTAGAAGGTGTTCCTATTCTCACTTTTAAAGCCCGGGCCTTTCATTTAAGAAACAAACATTGAAAATGTACAATGTGCATTGTGTAATGGTGGGTGATAGCTGAACAGTGAAGTTTTGATCTGATTTTTATTGTTGTTGTTGCTTTTTCTATGATATGATGATCAACCTCGGGATTTGTATATGCTTGTCAAGTACCCATTAATATACAACCCCAGCCCAAGTCATACAAGGTTTATATTTCTTATATTAAACATGCAACATCTTTTTTGAAGAAAAATAGCATGAAGTTCTTCAACTATAAATTTCCCAAACTATTAAAGGTGAATAGTACAAAGACGAGCTTAGAATACAAACCACTGTCTAATTTTGATCAATGAAATCTTTGATAATTGTTTTTACATATGGTCCAATGTCAGAACATAAATACTGTGGGGACAGTTATACCTCACAGTTCATATTACATTCATTGATGCAGATAGCACGCTCCATGTTCGCCATTTTCTTACTCACTGTTTTCGTTTGTGCCTGGTTTCTTATGATGGTGACTTACCAGTGAAGGAGTGAACTTGCACTGAGCAAGAGCAGCGTTATACTCTGATAGCTGGAATGGGTTTGTTGCTTTTTATACTTTCATAATTGACCCAATGATTTCTCTTTATCTATAACTTCATAAATTTAATTACTTGGTTATTTAATGGTGAGAAGAGAAAATGGAGGACAGAAGGAGAGACCATGAGAATTATGTTCCAAGCTAGGCAACACCACTTAAAGTTTCAGTCCCTTCCTGGAATTGCTCCATTGGCTGCTAACTGTTCCATCCATGAATCTTCAGATGGTATTTCATATTAAACCATAGCAAGAATGAGCCTAGAGTTTCATACATTCTAGGTGAACTTCATTTCCTACAACTGAGCCCCAATTCAAACAATTGTACAAATCTCTTTCCTCCTTTCTTTCCTTCCTTCCTTCCTTCTTCCTTCCTTCCTTCCTTCCTTCCTTCCTTCCTTCCTTCCTTCCTT